TGACATTTAATAGGCAAGAGCATCTGTCCCAATATCAGGCCTCAGCTGATGTGACAGATTCGAGTGTCAGGAAGTGGGAAGTGCAGCTGATGGTTGCAGGGGCTAGACTGTGAGGGCAGCCAAGGCGGCCGAGGGGCTTGTGGTGCTGAGGAGCAGGCAGGGCATGGTGGGGGCCTGGCCAGGTGGCCCCTGCGTGCTCAGGTGGGCAGTGCTGAGGGCCTGGCTGGGGCAGGGAGATGTAGAGGCAGGAAGCCGCACGTGGGGTGCTGACCTCCTGAGAAGGTGAGGTTGGGAGTGCCGCCACGCCTGCGGGTGCCCTGGAGTAGAGGCCCCATGGCAGGAGGGCCAGGAGGATGGGCCTCACCTGCTCCAGCAGCCGGCTCTGCTCATTCAGCCGTGCCTCCATCTTCCCGATGATTTCCTGTTGCCGGCTCCGCTCCTCCTCCATGTCCCGCTGCTGCTGGCCCAGCCGCTCCTGCAGTGCTGGGGGCAACCCACAGGGTGCTCAGCAGCTGCTCCCCTTCCCACCAGGAGCCCGGGTGGCTGAGAGGGGAGGGCGTACCCCGCAGCTGCTCGTCACGCTGCCGGATCCCCAGCTCCCGCTCCTGGGAGGTGGTGAGGTGCGAGGCCTCCACGCGGGAGGACAGCTCGTGCAGGCTGCTGGAGAACTTCTCCATCTGATGGATGATGCTATTCAGGGACCTGGAAGAAGACTGGGTCAGCCCCTCCTGAAGGTCTCAGGGACCCCCCAGACCCCACCCTCAGGCGGGCATGGTTGGGGTGGCGCACATACCGCGTGTGAGAGGTGGCACTGGTGGCAGCATCGACCTCTCGGTCCTTCAGCAGCTTTAGCCGCTGCAGCTGCTCCTCATGGTCTCTGCGCATCTCTAGGATGGACGCCCTGAGGGGAGGCGGGACGGGAAGGTGGTCACTCTGAGCTGGACCACCCGGATGCAGCAATTCCTTGGGGAAGGGCGTGCTTCTGAGCAGCCCTTGCTCCCAGGCCTCTCCTCCACTGGGCACTGCCTCAGTTTCCCCAGCTCCTCTGTCTTATCTGTCATGGTGCCTCAATGCTACACACACTAAGATGGGCAATCCTCCCATTATTCAGCTTTTCTTTTTAGGAGACGGAGTCTCACTCTCTCGCCCAGGCTGGAGCGCACTGGCATGATCTCGGCTCACTGCAACCTCCGCCTCCTGGGTTCAAGCAATTCTCCTGCCTCAGCCTCCCAAGTAGTTGGGACTACAGGTGCCCACCACCACGCCCAGCTAATTTTTTGTATTTTAGTAGAGATGGGGTTTTACCGTGTTGCCCAGGCTGGTCTCGAACTCCTGAGCTCAGGCAATCTGCCTGCCTTGGCCACCCAAAGCGCTAGGATTACAGACGTGAGCCACCGCGCCCGGCCCCGAGCAGTCTTTCTTTTCTTTTTTTTTAATTTTTGTAGAGATGAGGTCTCACTATGTTGCCCAGGCTGGTCTTGAACTCCTAGCCTCAAGCAATTCTCCTACCTTGGCCTCCCAAGTGTTTATTTTATTTTTTAAATGTTTTTAGAGACAGGGTTTTGTTCTGTGGTCCAGGCTGGAGTGCAGTGGCATGATCATAGCTCATTGCAGCCCTGATCTCTTGGGCTCAAGGTATCCTCCTGCCTCAGCCTCCCAAGTAGCTGGAACTATAGGAGTACACTATCATGCCAACTAATTTAAAAATTGTTTTTAGAGACAAGGTCTCACTGTGTTGCCCAGGCTGGTCTCAAACACCTGGCCTCAAGTGATCCTCCCACCTTGGCCTCCCAAAGTGCTGGGATTACAGGTGTGAGCCACTGTGCCTGGCCCTGAGCAGTCTTAAAAGGTTGCCTCTGCCTTCATCAGCCTGGTTCCCTTAGGTAACCTTTCTTAGTTTCCTTCTCTTCTAGAAAGGCAACCCTATCAACACGGCAGGCACAACAGCGCAAGCCTTTCCCAGGTGGATCTTGTTTCTAGCCTCTACTGCGTGAGCAGGTGAGTGGATGACCCTGTGCTTAGTTAGACCCTGGGGGACTTGCTGCTGCCATGCCGTGCCTGAACAGCCTGTGGGTACCCCTCCTGCCTCTGTAAGAGCAGGTGGCACCCCTACCCATGGGTATGATGAGTCAGTGTGCCCAGCCCTCAGTCCTCACTCACTGGACTGGGAGGGAAGGACCCGAACCCCTGTCCAAAGGCTGCTGAGTCACAGCGAAGGGTCTCATAGGGATGGCTCTCTTCCGGCTACTCCTTGCAAGCCCGCTCCCCAGCTGCCTGTCCCTGGGCCTCACCGCTGCAGCTCCTGGAGCCGCTGCATTTCCTGGTCCTTCTCCTGCGCTGTGGCCGCCAAGCGCCGCTGGTGCTGGGCCGTGAGCTCAGCACGGGCCTGTTCAGCCTCCTGGCAGTGCGACAGATACCGAGCTGACAGCTCCTCATTCTCTCTCCGGAGCCGCTCCTCCCGTTGCTGGTACGATGTTTCTAGCATCTTGATGCGGCTTCTGCCAACAGAACACCCAGTCATGGTGTGAGGAAGGCAGAGGGCTGCCACCTAAAAGCCTCTCCAGACACACTGGGATGGCTTTGGGGTCAGCGTGAGATCCAAGGCAGAGCTGGGGCCAGCACCAGGTTACCTGTGTGCACTCTCGATGAGCTCCAAGTCTGCCTGGTGCTGCTGCTGTAGACTCCCTAGCAGCAGCTCATGCTGGGCCCGTTCCAGCTCCAGCTTCCGCACCTAGAAGACAGCAGGAGGGCCAGCGACCAGGGAGGGGAGGCAGCTGTACTCCACGCTGCCCTGTGCCAACAGCCCCTCCTCCCTCCTGGGGAAGCTTCCAGCCACTCTCAGTGTCCCCTCCCATCGCAACCCTGCCCCCAGCGCCAGTGGCCCCACTGCCCTCACCTGGGTCTCCAGCTCTGCCAGCCGGGCCTGGCTCTGTAGCAGTTCGGCCTGGAGTTCAGTGGTGCCACTCTGAAGCTGCCCCTGTGCTGCCAGGAGCTGCTTCTGGTATTCTGTACCTGGCAGCAGGCTCCGGGCTAGGGACTCTGGGAGCAGGGGCTGGAGAAGAGGAAGAGAGGTTCCTGGTTAGGGAGGGGACAGGGGCCCAGCTGAGATCAGCTACCTCCTGGCCTGCTGCTCACTGGACCTCCCTGCATCTGATCTATGGCTGCAGATGGGTCCAAGGCCTTGGAGAGTCACAGTCACTGTGGCTGAGCAGTCCCCAGTGTACCTCCCCTTGCAGGTCTGGTCAGGAGCATGTCTCCCTCCACCACCCCAGAACAGCTTCCTCCCCTGCATGGTCTCCGGCTTCCCAAATGGCTGAGCCCCAGCAGAGTCTCTGCTATGACAAAAGCTGACGCTGGCTTTTCCTGTCAGGCCTCAAGCCCACATGTTGACACTAATCTGGTTCCCACAAGCTGTCCCCTACCCACCATCTCCCAGGGACACACTCCTGGGGGCCACACCTCCCAGGCCTACATGTCACAGGTGACTGCCACACATGGGAAACAGAGGCAGAGGTGTGGTGCGAGGATGGCAGGGGTGGAGGAGGCTTTCTTGACAGAACAGGACCCTGGGCCCTGCTTTCTGACTGCAGCGTCCCAGCTCCCCAGCCTGGCTACCTCCTCAAACTCCTCACTGATGTAGGCAAATTAACACCCAGCTCTGCCTGGGAGCAGCGAGGCTAGAGATTCAGGCAAGTTCTGGTGGGGGGTGCCGGGGGAGCTGGCTGACGTCACATTTGGTATGTTTGACATATTTTTCCTGGCAGGTCATCAGGTCAAACTGTTGGTGTTGCCTCTGGGCATGGAGAATTGCTCCCTAGGCCCTGAGCTAGACCTGTCTGCCCACACCCCTACCTGGATGGGCATGGAAGGCTTTGTGGGTTCCTGGGTGCTCGGGAAACAGGTGGCAGGCTCTGAAACATCAACAGCAGAGAAATGAGCAGGAGGCCCAGGGCTCTGGGCCTGTGAGTGTCCAGGAGGGACTGGTGTCACTCATGTCCCAGGGACCCCAAAGGAAGCTCAAAGCACCTCTTCCTCACCCAGGGTTAAACTCCCAAATGAAGCAGAAAACAAAAAACAAACCAGTGGCCGAGAGGTCTCCAGGGGCTGGTCGCCTCTTTGGGGAACCTGTAGGGAGTGCTGAGGCGGCATGGTTCCGAGTCACAGGGGACCTGAGGACACAGGGACGGGGCAGGGTGAGCAGCCTCTGCGTGGGACACGGGGACGGGGCAGGGTGAGCAGCCTCTGCGTGGGACACGGGGACTGGGCAGGGTGAGCAGCCTC